ATGAATTGTGCATTTTATGCACTCCATTTCCTATATATAACAATAAAAAACTTAATATTTTATCTTAAAATATAATTATATTCTATACATTTTATACTCTATATACCTCAGATGATCGTGATGATGGTGGTGACTGTGGTGATGATGGCAATTGTGGTGATGGTAATGATATTGATGACAACTCCTATAAATACAAGTAAAAAAATTAAGTAAAATGTCATGTTTACTATATATTAATGTTTCAGTTTATGCTTACATTGTTTTGTGACGTTTCTTTGGTAATGGTCCAATATCATAGTTTATTGGCCTTCTATTTCGAAAATTGTATTTATGATGAAGGTTGTCTGTTGTTGCAGTTGTTGTTGTTGTTGGAAGAGAGTCTTCAGTAGTTATAGCAGTTGTTGTTGCTGCTAGGGTTTGTATTCATGAATGTCATAAGGGGGTCACACAGGGTCACACACTATTAAAATCAAGTGATCAACTCAGAATTATATAGAAATATAAACCAAAGTTCATTGAACATGTTTTCACTTGCAGTTCTGAATAGTTATCAGATTTTAGTAAAAGAATACATCAGGAGATTAAAAAAATGTTGGGGGATATTTAGAAATTGAAATTGATGAGGATTTTAAGTGGTTTGATAATGAAATTGAAAAAAATGTTGAGTCTTTTTATGATGGTTTATCAAATAATATAGAAAATGTGACATCATTATCATCATCTAAATCACCCTTTGGTCTATTTAAATACAGAAAATAAATTGAAGCAAAGAGAGATGCTGAAAAAAATGGACAAACATTAGATAGTTACTTTTCTTTTAATAATACAGTTGATGTTGAAGTTAATCATTCTATGCCATTGAAACAGATTAGAAAATATGCAAGAAGAGCTGCAAAATTTATGGATTGTTACAGGAAAGGGTTTAACAGTATTCCAGGCTGAATAATTTGTAAAAAAATATAAGTCTCATAGAAAGATTCCAGATAATGTTATAGATGAATTAATATAAATGCATTTTTGGAAAGTCACATGACAAAAATTAAAAATGTCATTTTTGTAATGAAAGTGATAATTTTTTTAAAGGCTATCATAAAAATTTTCGAAAATGGGATTTTGAGCCGAGGTCTAGTCATTTAAGGATGTAACTTCTTTATAACATAATATTCACTTTGTTATATATAATAGTAATAGCATTTAGCTAATTTTTTAATTGGCCAATCAAAATTGTAATTTGTATTGTATTACATCAAGTGATAACTAATTTGATGGCACAATTTATTTTCAATTTAGTCACTGATAATCGTCATAATGTGATATAAATGAATTTAATATGCTAAATTAATTTTCAAAACATTTTATTTTTTAAAGAAATAAAAAAAAATTAATTCTAAAAAAAAAAATGAATAAATTTCTTTTTATAGAAAATAGAGAAGAAGAGGAGAAAGAAGCAATAGAACAAAATCTAGAACAACAACAAAAAAAACAGGTGAAAAACAGAATACGATATCGTTATACAATAGAAGAATTATTAGCATTACAACATAGTCCATTGGTTGAAAAACCTGAAGGTTTACCTTCAATTCTTGAATCGTGAGTAAAATTAAAATATAAATTAGAATATAATTTTTATTATACTATTAATTAATAATTAAATATTATTGATGTCGTATTTTTTCTAATTATTTAATTTGTTTAGGGAATGTATCAAGAAAGAAGGCAAAAAAAGTGTAACTGATGGTAGTAATACAGATAATGAAAAAAGGTATAATAATTAGTAACTATTTAAAAAATTATATTAGAATAATTTGAGATTGTAGTTTCATTAATTATAACGATATTTTTTTTGAATTATTTTCAAATGAAAGCAATAATAAATCATCGAATCACCATCATAACGATGGAACAAAAAAATCAAAAGAGGAGTCAAATAATTCTTCATTTGGAAATCAAAAAAGTCCTTCGTTAACTGTTTCCAATAAAAGCCCTAATGGATCAGTACAAACCTCACCTAAACCATCGGGTAATTAGTACTATTATTAATTTATATTAAATCTTTTTTAGAATAAAAATTAGCAATACCAACTAATATTTCTACTAAATATATACATGTTAATAGATAGAATTATTCTTGGCCCTCCAAAAATGACTTTTGCTTCTTCCTCTGTAGGAGGATTAAGAATTACTGATCCAGAAGAAAATAAAAATGTTAATATTAATAATAATAACAATAATAATGCTCCTCAAGTGAAGACAAGCAGATCAGATGGACTACGACAACGCCAAGTGAGTGACTCATTGGCCTTAGACTACAGTGCTGATACGTTTAAAAAAAATATATATGTAATAAAAATAGTGCATTTCATCATTCAACCAACTAATAAAAAATATATAACTCGATTAATCATTCTTCAACCTCTACATAATTTAATTCTTCATCTTTTATCTATTTACCTCAGGGTGACGAAGTCTCTTATGTGAAATCTCGAGCACCTCGTGGACCCACCAGTGAACGAGGATTTATCGGCAGAGAAGCTATACGAGAACGATATCTTGCTGAAAAGGCATCAAAAGAATTAAATACTTCATCGAATAATAATAATAATCATAATAATCACCATATTAATAGTAATCATCATCAAAATCATCACAATCAACAACATCACCATCAACAACAACATCACCATCAACATCATAACAGTAACAATAATAGCAATAACAACAATAACAGTCATCATGGCCGCAATTCTGGAAATTCTCGATCTCATGAAAGGAATAATCGTAAAGATGGTATAAATATCAATTGACTACAAATTAATATTTAATTATTTTTTAAAAATATTATTAACAATTATAATTATAATAATGATAATAACAGGTAACAATTTCAGTAGTAATCATCATATAAATAGATCAAATTATTCAAAAAATCATCATAATCACGACGAAAGATCCGAGATACCATTATGGGTAGACTATAATCCGCAAATCGATGAAGAACATAATGGTTCAAAAAATGGATTGGGAGATTTCGAATATCATCAAAAAGGATTTGATCTTCAAGTTTGGAAATCACAGATGAAAGAACTAGATAAAGAACGAAAAGATAAAGCGGAGAAAGAAAAAAGGGATTCAACTATTTCTAATAATAACAATAAAACTTTCAAAGGTAGATCACGAAGTATTACACAAGCTGATAATATTACTTCTTGTCGCTCAGAAAATAATAAGAATAGTGTGGCAAATGAAGAATCTGCTACTACTACTTCCACTATTACTAGAACTACTACTATTATTAACAACAATAGTATTACAAATAAATCTATAGAAGAGGAAAAATATTTAGCACAAGAAAATAATAGTGTGAAAGGAAAACTCGCCGCTGATTTAAATGGTATAAAGAAATTGAAAATAACTTATTATATTTAGTATATTTATTTATTACATATATTAACATACAAACAATTATATATGTTCACAGAACCCACATTAAATATAACTAGTGTAGATCAACTTTTTGGTCTAGATGGCATTGATCTTAGTACTCCATTGGAATTAGGTTCATCTGCTTTTGATAAATTCCTTTCACAACATAAATTAGCAATGGCCGATGATAGTATAACAAAAATAGGACCTGGAAAACGTAATAACGACTTACCGACCACTCGAGAACAACAAACGTCACGTTTTGCTAGATTATTTTCTCAAAGTAGCGATGATAATGATGATAATAATAATAATAATAATAATAATCATCTTATTGAATCAGAAAATCGTAATATTAAACCTTCAAAAATTTCTAATAATAATAATACTATTTCATCCAATTTGACAACAACAACATCTACATCACGGAATAGTTTAATCCCTAATGATTTATTAAAACCTGGTCCTATTAGCATTAATGCATTATTTCAAAGTCAAGTTAACAACAACGACAACGACAACACCACGCCTTCTTCTATTTCTAATACTGCAAATGCTGCTGCTACCAACGCTACTTCTGTTTCTCCTCTTACAAGCTCAATTGAAGGAAAAAGAATGTTATCAGAAGCTGAGGTATTACAATCTTTAGGTGCAAAACCACCCAATATATCTGAAATTTCTCAATCTGAAACTGAAGATGTTGTTGGATTTAACAAAATACTGGCTGCTTTGGCAAAAGGAAATGTAAGTTTAATTATAGTTCTTTTTAAAATAATAATAATAATGACAATAATAATAGTATTATACTATTTATTAATTATTACTTCTTTAATTTCTTTTTTTTAAAAAAAAATATATTATGAACAGTCATCAGATGTGCAACAAATTTCACAAACAGTCCCTAATAATATACCATCATCATCATCATTGTCATCAACTGTAAATAATCTTCATTCATTATCATCAACATCAAATCAATCACTGTCAAGCGTACATCAAACAACAGTAACAACAAGTAATAATCAACAACCAGCAATACCTTTCAATGATCCTTCCATAATAAGTGCACATAAATCACCTTTGAACACAAAATCAAGTCAACAACAACAATTACAACAACAACAACATCATCAGCAAATGCAACAACAACATCATCAGCAAATGCAAAATCATAATCAACAACAACATCATCAGTTACCACTACAACACCATTCATCTAAAAATGATATCCATAATAGACACCTTGGAATTTCTGATTTGTCACATTTATCACATTCAGATTCGACTAAAAAAATTAATATGCTTCTTGGAGGAAATGTACCAACTTCCGTATATCGTCAGTTAAGTTCGAGATCAGAAAATGGATCAAGAGAATCATCTGCCGGATCTTCACCTGCATTGAAATATCCCAAAACCAATTTTTCCAACTATCCGCCACATTCACCACCACTACATTCAACAAATCTTTCGGATATGGTTGCACCAATATTCAAACCACCACCACCACCACCACAATCGCGATCTCCTCCAATTCTTCTTCATCATAGTAATAACATCAATAACAATCATTCACAATACCATCATAATCCTCTATCTCAATATGCTACTAATAATGGACCAGATATGATCTCACTTTCAAACAATCGTCAAGATTATCCTCCTCCTACCCTACCACAAGTTGGACGCAATATTCCTCTTGAGCAATTATTTGGTTATATACCTCAACGACCTCAACAACTTCCTCCCCAATTTCATCCACCACCACCGCCACCACCACAAATTACTCCTGTTTCTTTACCTCCTCAAATACCCTTTGGATATCAACAACAACACCAACATGAACGTTATCCACAACAACAACTTCAATACTCTGGCCATCCACTGCCACAACAGTTTCCTGTCCATCGCCATCATCCTTCAATGTTACCAAGCACCGAAGCATTGTATGCTAATATGCAAGGATATGCTCAATTCATTCCAAATATAGTAAACAATGCCATGGCCTCTAACAAAATACCAGGTAATGTTACACCTATTTATTTGAAATTAATTAAATATAAATAATAAAAATTCATTAACCAATTTTTTTAAAAAAAGGTATTCCTAACAATTCTACATTACAACAACATGGTATGATGACCTTGGAGGAAATAGAAAGGAAGGGACTTGGTGGTCGTTAAATTGATAGATAAAATAAATATTGGGGTTTTTTAAAAAAAAAATTTTCATGCCCAAAAAAAAAAAAAAAAATTAATAAAATTAATGAACATTTCATGTATATTTTCTTTCTTTAATCTTTTTTATTTTGTTTGATTATTACAATTCTTTGTTTTTTATTATATATAATTTATCTTTTATTTTTTTTATTTTTTATATTTTATATTTGAAGTTAATATAATATAATATAATAATAATACATTATAATTACTACTACAAAAAAATATTTTTGCATGATAGAGATATTAAAAAATCAGCCCATTTACAGTACAATATTCTTTCCATAGATTTATTATGACTCTTATTCATATTGTCGTCTTCAAGAACTAAATGTTCCATATATTTTCAAATTTCTAGAGGAACATCAAGCAATGTAACCTTCTTTCATAAATTTGCTTTTAATGCCAATGTGCCAAAATTGTTAATCCAATCATTTTTATTGGACTTTGGATTAATTGTACCAATGTTGGCAATTTAACTGGTTCAAATCTTTTTTATTTGAATTTTTTGAATTAGCAGTCAAATGATATGTCACGGGAGGTGCAATAAAATAGAAAATCAGACTCGTGTAACCAACCAGTTTTTTAAAATATCTCCTTATTTTTATAACAAATTCAAACATCATTATTAATCAAAAATAAAACTTTGACATTATAGCTTTCTAACTAGCCCTCTTCCATATTGATAGAGGCTCTCTATGCCAAGCTATATTTATTCAAAAACAACATTACTTTTTACTTCAAAGCTAAGATTTTTTACCAATATTACCTTTATAGACTTGGTGAGTGGTTGAAAAGATGTAAAATATTGTAAGTTTTCATATAGGTATAGCTTTATGTGGATTGTTGTTTATTAAAGTTTAGTGAAAATGGCAAAAACATATTAAATTTTGATAAATTTATTTATCAATACACAAAAAGGAAAAAATGTGTACAGGAGATTATTAAGAGTAATGGCCAAAAAGAGATAATTAATTTCCAAATGTGGTAATTTGATTGATTAAACTTTAACACCAAGAATTTTTTTCTATTTTATTAATAACTAATTTTTTTCTAAAAGGAGGAATGAGTCCTGAAAAATCTGTGTCTCAAATTTGGTGGAGATTGCAAAAAAAGGGTTAAAATTAAGGTTTGTGGCTAATTTTATTAATAGAATTTCAACATTGATTACCAAAAATACACTTCCCAATTGATTAGTGTGGCAAATCATTTGCCATGAATACAAGCCCTATATAATAATAATAATAAATTTTATAGAATTTATTCAAGCCAATTATGAATTTTGTATAATAATGGGTTCTAGTATTGTGATACATATGTTTTTATCTAAACATCTTGTTTGTAATGATTTTGGATCTATTTGGTGCTTCTCAATTACTACTGGATTATCAAGTTTGCATGCAAATATTATTAAATTTGTTGGCCTTTTTACCAAAATTAACATGTAAGTTCACCTTTCCTTTTTTTCCTTCCAAAATTTGTTTTTTCAAATATAACAAATAAATAAACAAATTCTCATTTATTTGGATATTTTGGAATGAAATTATATTTAAAAAAAGTGTTACCTTGGCAATCATTTATATTTTCACTGATTTTTTACATGCAGTATTATATATCATTATGAAATTTAAAAAGATGTTTCACATTCAGAGAGATGGCAATAGTGGCACAAGCAATTACATTGTTGATAATTGAATCATTTATTGTGACAATAAATAAGGTTTCAGTTTTTTTAATATAATTTACCAAACATTCACATATATAATGCACTATCTAACATATACAATAATTACAATAGTTTGAATTGATTGATTTACCACCTTTTAGAAGTCATGTACCATCAGAAATGACCATTTTTCAATTAGCACTTATTCTTGGAATGTTTTTGATCGGATTTACTTTATCAAGTTTGTTATTACATTCTCGATACTTAGCACAAATACCTAAATGGAAGAAAAAATGTGTTGAAAATATAGAAAACAAAAAGAAATGGGTAGCAACTTTAATATATTGTTGTACATTGATTATGGTATTCCTGATAGGAAAATGGTTACAAATTTTTTTATTAGATGATCCCTTTGCATGGTAATAATTACTATTATGTTATTATGTTATATTGTTGGAAAAATTATTATTATAATTATTATTGTACAAAGACAATCTACTTTACATTGGAATCAAATTGTAGAATTTTTTCTTGTGTATATACTGGATAACAGCTATTACCATATCACTTATATTATTTTTACAATTGTTCAGTTATTGGAAAACAATTTCATTGAACACAAAAAGAAAATATTTTCATGGTTTGGCTATGATCATGTTTATTCCTGGATGTTTATATGAGGGATTATATACATTATATCATTTAATAAATTAATATATCAATCATAAAATCAAATTGATAATTCTAAAATCTACTATAAACATTTTTAAATAAGCCCAAATTTATGCACTTGGCATTTAGTGTTGTGTTTGCTTTCTAGAATATTTTAAGATACTTTGCTGTTTATCCATTTGGAAAACAATTACATTTATTTCTAAATGAATTCTTGGATCATCGTGACTCAGGACATAATAATAATCGTGTAGTTTCCGCCAATTTGAATTCCTGTGAGAATATTCGACATCCGCCAAAATTAAAATATCCAGGCATATGAGATATCCGGGCGATATATATTTTGAACATCCACAAAATGTATCTGTTATGACTTATCAGGGCCATAGTGTACTAAGGACATTGATTCGTTGTCATTTCTTTAATTGAATATTAATTTCGGATATTTTAATTTTGGCGGATGTCGAATATATTCAAATTGGCAGATGAATTTTGGCGGAAAACTACACGATTATACTCAGGACCATTAATAACAAGTCATTTGTATTTATTGATAGGATGTGCTGGATGTATTTGGTTAAAGGGTTAATTATAAATTGGAATTGCATGGATTTTTATTGTAATTTTAATTTTTATTATTAATTTTTTTAAAAATAACCTATCTTTAGGAATTCAATCCTTGCAAATCTTTCAGGTATATTGACATCAGGTCTTGGAGATTCTATGGTAATTTCTAAATAAATATTTATGTTATAAATATTTACAAATTGTATTATGATAATTATAATATAGGCTTCAATGATTGGTAGAAGGTATGATTGTCATAAATGGCCAGGCACATCTAAAACGGTTGAAGGATTTGTTGCATTCATTTTTTTTCAATTATCGGGTGTATTTGTTTTATCGAAATTTGGGATGGCTGTTAAGGAATGAAAATGTAAGTGTACAATACTCATGATTATACATGGGATGATAATTGCCTAATTACCGTAATTAATTACCATTTTCCTCTTTAAAACATAATTACGAATAACAACGAATTAATTATTGGAAATATCGTAATACAAGTCACCCCCGTTATAACAACACTCTCCGTACAAGCAAAAAATGTCAGTATGACGAGAATGTCATTATAACGGGAGTTCATATAGAAGTCATATGAGAATCATTATCATGTGATTTTGTAATTTTATTTTATATATATATATATATATATTTTTTTTTTATTCATTCATGTTTTATACATTGTATTAATTATTCTATCAGGAAATTTTAAAACTTACGCCGGCGTAAGTTTTAAATTTCCTTATGTTTTTTCAGAAATGATCAGAATGATTTTGATTGGTTCTCCCATTATACTGACATGTTGTTATAACAAGAACAAATTCTATAATTCTAAAAAAAAAGTTGACAAATTATGTCATTATACTAGTATAACGAGATAAATAATAGGTGCCATTTGATTTCGTTGTTCGTAATTGATTTCGTTACGCGTAATTGATTTCATCACGCGTAATTAGTTTCGTAAATAATTTCGTAATTACGTATTACGTATTATCGTTTTTGGCAAAACAATTACCATCCCATGTATACTCATGATTTTGACTTTACAATTAATTATATTTTTCTGAATAGCCATATTTTTTTAGTTGACTGCTTATACAATAAAAGTATCATTGAGTAGTAGGTTTTCTTTTTCTTGTCTTTTACATTCTTAATTATATTGTGATAATGAAGATTATATTTATTTTATTTACTAATTTTTATTTATTAGCTCTTTTGGAAACAGCATCACATCAAAATGATAACCTAATAATTCCTTTGTATATGTGGTCTTTGGTTTCTTTATCAAGTTAATAGAATTGTAATATCAGTAATAAACAGGTAAAAATTTAGACTAATATATATATATATACACTATGCAATTTGTGAATACGTTATACCAAAAAAAATTTTAAAAGTATCTATTTTCCTTCCATTCAATTCATTCAAAAAGAACACATTTTAAATAATTAAAATAAATTCATTATTTAATAACTTGTAAAATGGATAATTATTTATTTAAAGACTATGAGATTTTGGAATATTCATAGATACTATGAATCAGGTGCCTATTCCATTTAAAAGTTCATCCATCACTATATCACTATGCAATATTGACCAATTGCAATTTTGTAACATGATATTCATTATTTTTGACGCTTACAAATCAACCATTCCAACTTGAGCCTATCAGATGAGAGATATTTTTATTTTAATTAAAAATATGTATATCACTGCTTAAATTAGAATTATTTCAGACAACGTCATTTATTTGACAGAACAAAAATCCGTCTTATAAAAAAAAAATTAGATTCAAAAAATTATTTTTCTGAAAAATTTTTACTCAATTATATTTTTCTGAAAAATACATAAAAAAACCATCAGAATTAAAAATGTCATCAACCAATTCATTAATAATAGGATGGCGTTTAAAAGGTCGCCACGTACTTATTATAGGCGGGAATCATATCATTGCAAATAGAATAGAATTTATTTTAGACACCAAACCTGAAAAAATCACCTTGATCTCTCCCAAGCAAAAGATCACTTCTAATAAAGTAACCAGCTATATTAATAATGATTTGGTTATATATAAAAATAAAGAGTTTCATGTAGATGATTTGACCACTGAAAAGATTGATTTGATATTAGCATCTATTGATAATGATTTAAAATTATCTGAAAAAATTGCTGCGACTGCTCGTGAACAAAAAATACCAATTAATGTTGCTGAATTACCACAACTCTGTGATTTCTGGTTTATGCCAACATATCGTGATGGAAATTTACAAGTAGCTATTTCAACAAATGGTACTGGGCCTCACATAGCTCAAAAGCTTAGACAACATATAATTGAAAGTATACCAAAAAATATTTCAAATGCTATTGGAAATGCTGCTTTATTAAAACAACTTGTTAGTACAGCAAATATATCAACACTTACAAAAATCGCTGATAAATTATCACTTAATCAACTTGCTCAATTATCAGAACCTGAAATTAAAAAATTAATTGGAACAACTGAATCCAATGATAATGATTTGGTTTCAATTTCAAAATCAATTTTATCATTGAAATCAAAAATAGGCATTGAAATTAATACTCATGAAGGTGGTGGATTGAAACTTGTGAATGGTAGTACAGCCATAGAACATGTAGCTTATGCTTTAACTAGTTCTATTTTTATTTATCCAGCTACAAGATCACACTATCTTGGTGAATTAAGTTTATATTGGTCTTCACAATCACTCAATAATGCATTTGGGGAAATTAATCACGTAATAAAGGCTGATACTCGTTTTGGTGCATCTACCATGATTTTTGGTGCTGCATCAAATGTTAAGAGAATTTCAGCATTTGCATCATCTCAATCTATCATCCCTATGATACCAAATTTCTATGGGATTGTTGATGAAAAAATACCATTTGTGATTCATGTATCAGCATTAGATAATGATGATCAGATGAATTATTATGTGAATTATCATAATTTGCTGATTGCACACGAAACCGGTTTTGGTATAATTAATTCATATTCAATTCAAGAAGCTCATGATATTGCATTGATAACTCATTTGGCATCAGTTTATTTAAAATCACCTTTTCTACATGTTTTTGATGGATTAAAAGTTTTAAATAAATCAACAAAAATAAATTTATTATCATACTCAAACATTCTAAGGTTAAACAAAGAACTATCAAATATGACAGAGAACTTGAAATCTTTTGATGAGAATAATGATGATGATAAGGTTAATATAATTGAAATGATTGCAA